TAATTTTTGTAATCCATGATTGTAATTTTTTTAAATTTGTGTATTTTTTTTTTAATCCATGATAGAATTTTTTGAAAATTTGTGATTTTTTTTTTTAATCCATGATCGAATTTTTTTTGTAATCCATGATAGAATTTTTTGAAAATTTGTGATTTTTTTTTTTTAATCCATAATCGATTTTTTTGAAAATTTGTTAATTTTTTTTTTAATCCATATTTTTCAAAGAGAAAATGAGAGAGATGATGATTCTGAGGCCACCCTATCCCAGCCATATTATTCACAAATCGAGTCCCAACAGCAACAGTGTAGGGATGAGCACGACAGTGCAGGTGAGCATGAATGATGGACAAGCTTCGGGGATTTTGGATTGAGAACACAACAAAACACTAACACTCAGGGATTTGGGAATAGTCAGACACCTGCTAATATCGATGATTCGTTTTTAGATCGAATCAATGAATTGTTAAACGAATTCAATCAATGGCACCAGCGTGACCAAGAAGAACAATAACGTCGTCTATCATTTTATTTTTAGATCATATGTTACTAATTTTATGCTTTATTGTAGTCCATGTATGTTTATATACTTATTCCATGATAATTCTATGTTTATCCTTTTATGTGATGTAAATTAAATGCTCAATGGCGGTTCATGCAGGGAAAAAACATATCAATATTCGCATATTCATTCAAAAACATGAAAATTCTTAATGGAGTACCCTCATTTCTTATTGAATTCCTAAAAAATAATATTTATAATGAATTTTAATAATTCTTTCGGATTTTTTTTAAGCATTATTCTGACCGATTCACCCGATTTCCCATCCGAATTGCCAATTCGCCGATCCGGATCGATTTTTTGGATGTCCGATCCGGATCACCGATCCGTTTTTTAAACCATTGGTTGTGTCACAAAACACATCCATGTGATCATAAGACTTCCATGGTATTTTGATAGCCTTTTTGTGACTCGAGAATCAGTTATTTGGTTTGTGGTTTTAAGAGAGAGAGAGAGAGAGAGGTGAGAGGGAGAGAGAGATTCCATTACTGTTCTGATGAGAGCTACTTTGCAGTTATCCCAAGCGAGAAGCAACCGGTTGCTAATCCTGAGAAAGGGGTTTTCGTCTTAAGCTAAGCATAAGCGCAGGTGAGTTACATGCGATGAAGAGGGCAATGATTATCCTCTCTAAGGGACCAATTACTCCAACTACTTGAGAGGAATAGCATAGTCTTAACAGCTCAGCTCGAAGCTCAAAATTTGAACTGTGAGCTTGACCGAAACCAAATAAAGAATCATGCTTAGAGTTTGGTAGAGAGAATGCGCACAAGACCCACAAGAGATGCAAAAAAAAAATTGGTTCTTGAAGAATCGAAAATTTTCATAATTTCGGTTTTTAAATAATTGAAAATGGGTAGTTTTATCCTTTTAACAAAAATGTTACGAAGTCCAAGAAACGGATATATCAGTAACAACAGCAAGTATTCGATATTTTAGTAATAACAAAAACTAAAACGAATATTCACGTAATTTTTCCCAAAAAATTTATTTATTGTCTAGCCCACATTTCTACAATATGCAGGCTGACCAAATGCTAATCACCTCCTTTATTTAAATATATTATAAGACGATATATGAAAAAGAGAAAAAGAAAATAGTTCCACATGGCTGCATCCCGATAAATCCTCACCTCATAACTTATCAAAAATTACAAGTCAAGCATTGAAAAACCTTTAGACATTACCATTATAGTTATAAAAAAAAAAAAAGGATTTTAAGCTCTAAAAATAGTGTATATTATAATAAATTATCTAAACAATCCATTTTACTTTAAAAATAAGTGTTCCATCTGCAAGATATGAACCATTTTTTGGATTTCAAATTTCATTGGCTTTGTTAGAAATTGATTTTAGAGCCATTATAGAGATTTCCGTGTTGGTTTATGTGGCCTTTAAAGGCCTCATAAATGAAAAACATTTATTATAATGGAACATAAATTTAGCGGGACTGTGGTCCCTCGGGGACCATACTAAGCAAATGATGTATATTAATACCGGACTGTGATTGACGATCGAGGCCAGTTGGATGGAAAACCCAAGGTATCTGGGTATAGAGAATAAACCGATAAGGGTTATTGGTTATCCCTTTATGAGGTCGGAGCTTATACCTGGATGAGTGAGCTGAGGGTTGTGTGACCCTTGTATGTGATAGTAGACCTACAGCGACGTGGGCCAAAACCTCATCTATGATCCATCACATTACATGCATATCGATATATCATTCGAGAAAGCCGGATATCCACCTTTGGGTGAAGTGTATGCATGTGCGAGAGATATTCTTATACACCATAGAGCTGTGGTCGCATCAGGTCGTGGTGACCTTGATTGGTCTCTAGGGGAGGACCTGTAATCCACAGACTAAGAATGCCACCCCTTGGCTTATCATCCAGACTTTGGTGACCCGCTAATTAGCCCCTGTTTGAATTATGGTTCATGGGAAACACTGGATTGATTCCATAAAGCAAGTGTGGTTTGTAGTCCACAATTGAATGTGGAGTACCCCATTATTGCATATTGAATTCATAAACCATAAGGATTTATTTCCCATCAAATTAATTTAATTGTGTTCATTTTATTATAGAAATTATTTTAGATTTATTATTTGATTTTTTATGAATCTTTTAATATTTTATTTATGATTTTGGATTTATAAAAATGAAGTAATTAATTTTAAAATGTTATAAAAATTCAAATAATGTTTTAAATTTATTTTATTGCATTTTTAATTTTTATAAAAATTATATGGGGGCCCATAGTGCACATGAGCCCGCCATGTGGTATGTGGGTGGGGCCCACATGTACCACATAGGGGTGGCATGTCCCACCCCTTGGATACTTCTTTGATTGCTTTATGTTGAAGTAATTTGAATTATGGACAGTGTATCTTATGACATGTGGTCAATTTGTTATATAGTCAATATTTACCATATCTTATCTAAATGAGATAGCATATATTGACTTGATATTATTTGATATATTCTTATGGAATATATGAGATGGATTATGCATTTTTATGTAATGCATGATATTTTAATAGATTTAACTTATTTAAATATATTGATTGGAAAATGGTTTAAGGAAAGGGGGATAATGGTCCATGCACATTTTATAATGTTGATGGCCCTTATATGGAATAGATGGTTCAGATCTCTCACCCCACAAGTCACCCTGATCAACGGTCTATATTCAATCTCAATAAAGAGGCAAATTGTGATAAACCCTAAACATAACTTTGCACTATAAATAGGGGTGTACCATCTCCTATTCTCAACACCTTCTCTATCCTACAACTCTCTCTCTCTTCTCTCTTGGAGGGGCATGCTCCACTCTCTCTCCTCAGGCTTTCTCTCTAACTCTCTTTCTCTCTCATAAGACCCATAAGGGGCACGCCCCAACCCTAGGCCTCCTCTCTCTCTCTTGACCTAGAGATATTAAGGGTTGGGAAATTAAGGTTAAGCCTAAATTATTTTTGGGGTTAGGGTTTTATAGAGATTTAAGGGTGCTTCTTCAGTTTGACCAAATTTGGCTTTCTCAGTTCGAGATTGAAGCTAGACTACTGATCCCGCTCCATCGGATGTTGGTGAGTCGGTATGGGGTGTAATAAGCTCGGTTGAGATAATCTTCAACATCTTCTTTTATTTCATACAAATTTATTTTTATTCTCAAGTGTAGTGTTTAGTTGTATAAATGGCATCAAGTGGTTGGGTTTTATTTTATTGTTAAGTTGCCTTTATTTTGAAACATTTATTTATTGTAATAAGACCATCTGTAAGTGATCTTTTTGCCAAAGTAAAAAGGGTGTTTAAAAAAAAAAAAATTATATTTATCGGCAAAAGGTTACGTAGGTTTTTCTTTCATTCCGTCACCTTAAGTACATTCCGTACAAGGATTTGAGGTGAGGCTTTATTTGTTTTCATAAAACCTAATTGTAGCCATATCAGTTTATATCATTCAAAATAACAATTTGTTTCATTTTGGAATAGGAGTGTTTGCTTTGTAAATTATATTCCAATCAAATACCATATAAAAAAGGGAAAGTTTATATAAGGTTGCAACCTTAAAATGTAGAATCACAAATGCACCTCCCAAATCTATCGAAAATATTGTTTTAATGTTGAAAAAACACTCTAACCGATCATCTTGACATCGAGATGTATGAATACGAAAAAAAAAAGGTTTTTGAGTCTTGAAAATAGTGCATCTTGCAACACATTATCTAGACCGTCCATTTTCAAGATTTTAATATATTTATAGATCTACTTAATTTTAACTATTTTTTGAATTTAATTTTCTCTAATTAGGTATGAAAATAGATTTTAAGATAATACTAAGAATTTTTTACAACAAAATTTAATGTTATGATAAAATTTTAAGGTGCGCCTTAATTGGATTGTTTAAGGTTGCAACCTTATAGAAATCGTTCTTGAAATTTATCAAAATATATATAAGAAAATATTCACAAGAGATCAACTTTTTACTCAATTTAAAAAAGATGAGGTTCACCTCCAATCCTCGTTTAGAAAGTACTTTGGGCATCGAAAATCTCTACGATGGCTATAAAACCAATTGCAACACCAATAGCGAAATCTAAAGCTCAAAAAATGATATTACGGATCTGTGTAACTTATTTTTAGAGCGAAAAGAATGGTCTAGATAATGTGTTATAATGTACATTATTTGTAAGGCTTGAAATCTTAATTTTTTGCACAAACATAATGGTCAAGGCCGAGAAGATCAATTTGAAGGTTTTTATGCCAAACCTATAATTTTTAGTGAGTTTTAAGGTAAGACTTTGTTATTTTGAGAGGGTTGCAACCCTATAAAGAAAATATCCTTTTAAAAAGCCCATAAAACATGAGTACATGACCATAAGCTAGATGTAATTGTTGCAAAAGGACAAACTGTTGAATTGTTGAAACGTTAGATGTAATTTGATAATTTTCCCTTAAAAATATGATGAAATTTACTAAAGTATGAGACCAACTTTTTAATATTATACCCATGTTTTTTTATTTAACTTGAAAGTACCCATTTACATGAGCTGTAATAATTAATTAGGATTGTATATAATGAGACTATTTACCTTTAATACAGGAAGGTCACAATTACTTATGACCAACCAATATGAAATCTGATAGCTTGGGTATTTCACAAAGTTCAACAAAGTTTGTTTTGTAACTTCAAGTTAGGTCAATTAAATAAATGCCACCCCCCAATATTTGTTCAAGATTAATTGTGACCACTTTGCACCAAAGGTAAATAGTCTCATTATATACTTTCCTTAATTATAAATGGGAAAGCTAGTGAATAGTTTGTCCCTTACAAGAATTTCAATAAATTTCCCAATAATATTGTCCGAAATGATCTATTGCCCCTCCTTGCTAATTGGTAGACCAAATTATCTTTATTCAACATTAGAACCCATTCAAAATATGGGCATTCTAGTAATTTAATCTTAAGCGGCTCAATTCAGGTATGAAAAATACCTATAATTGTTTACCGTAGTAGCATTGAACTCCCCAACTGTTCAAGAGGAACCCATCTTTTTAATTTAGGGAAAAAACGCAAAACTACGGATACACATAAAAAATCCATCAAAAAAGGTTGTTTTAATATTGAAAAATCTTCTTATTGATCATCTCGACATCGAGATGTATGACTATAAAAAAAAACAAAGATTTTGAGTCCTAGAAATGGTGCATCTTACAACACATTATCTAGACCGTCTATTTTAAATATTTTTATATGTTTATAGATCTACTTGATTTTAATCATTTTTGGAGTTAATTTTTTTATAATTAGATATAAAAATAGATTTTACGATAATCTTAATAATATTTTAATCAAAATTATATGTTATGATAAAATTTGAAAGTGCGTCTTAAATGAATTGTTTAAGGTTGCAACTTATGGAAACCGCACCCTTTAAGTTGTAAGCGCTTGTTCATGTTGCTAACCTTGAACAATCACATGTATTTTGCTTGGCTTAGACCACATGAACAGAGTTTTGTTAAATTCATAGCTTGGAAAGGGCACTTCGGTCACGTTTACCAAAGGGAAATTTATCTAATTATATACTAAGAGACAAACTATTATAGTTTATTATTATTATTCAAAAAGCTTGTAGAGAAGCAAATTATAATGGGTCCGCCAATCATTTATGGGATATAGTTTATATAATGTTGCAATTTTACTTGTAGAAATAAGATTACAATGTTTGGCATTTATTGATTTTAGTTGGACGACATAAATTTGACACATCTTTTAAAATACTATAAAAAAGTAGCACATCTTTTAAGATGATGTGAAACATACACCGTCAAAATAAAAAAAACCGTGCAAATTATGTTAACCTTACTTTTACAAGTGACGTTGCAACCTTGTATAAACTTTCTCGTTGTTTATGAAGTTTACATCGGGTTTGTAGCTTTTTAAATATTACAACCGCTTAATTATGAGAATCACTATGTGCAAATATTATACTTAGATAAAATTGCAATTTGAAAACGACAATAAAACATATTATAAGTTTTTTATACAAGGTGTCGACCTCATACTGTAGAAATAACATCTTAAAAATTTATTAGAAATGGTTCTTTCGATGCTGTAAAACCTTCAAATCGATTTTCTCAACCTCGAGATTTACATATATGAACAAAAAAACAAGATTTTACGTATTAGAAATAGTGCATCTTCAAACTCCAAACCAATGTTAAAAAGTACGAATTGGATTGAGTAATTGGCCTTGGCCCGAGCCGGTTACTTGGATCGAGTCCAAGAAACTCGGCTGATTAGTACTGAGTAGTGTAGCAAAAAAAAAAAAGCATAAAAAACATTATAAAAAAAATAAAAAAACTAGAAAATGTATGTTTAAAGTAATATTAAGCAAAACATTTTAAAATGATGCTAAAAAAGTAGAAAAAATATATTTTAAAAACATCAAACTTGTAACTAGTGACACCCAAATAAATTCTTTATTTTTTAGATTTTTATTATTGTTTATTTTTTTTAAATATCCCCTAGTTGGACACCCAACTCGGGCTCAAATCGGCCCGGCAAGGGCCCGAAAGTAACTTGGCCAAATAAAAACTACTAGGCCGATTTTACAAACACCGCTCCTTAAGAATTTAATATTAGATGAATTTGCAGTGACTTAGAATGAGCTTCAAAATCCAATACAGAGACATTAACGGGTAAAACACCTTTCCCTTTGTAAGATGCACAGTTTTGCCCTATCTAGCCATAGGTTGTAGTTTGTATAAGCCGTCAACTTTAAAAAGTCCCAACGCACGCCTCTAAATTGTACCAAAAGATATAGTTCTAGTGTCAAAATTATCTGTGATGGTCTAACAATTTGTTTTCGCTCCTAATTATGAAATTTAAAGCTCTAAAATTGGCGCAAATCGAGTAATCTATAATTACTCAATATCTTAAAAATGTATAGTTCAAATAACATCTTACAAGATGTATTATTTTGAGGACTTAAAAAATCATATTTATTTATTTATATCCACATATCTCGACCTTGAGATAACCAATTAGGGGTTTTACAAAACAATCTTTCTTTTTTTTTTGGTGGGTTTTTGAGATGCAACTTACTTCTACATGATCTTTTACCATTGTCATAAAACCAAGAGACTTGTCTTAAAAATGCCCAGTCTCTATGTGGCTTACCTCAGGTTCTTGTGTTTCATGATTTTAAAGGATTGCTATTTACTAGGAGTGAAATCACTATCAATATTCATTTGCTTACTTTATCAATTGAACACTAAAAGTATAAGTTCTATTCCATGCGTGTGTTCCTCCTCTCCTCTCTCTTGCTTCCTTCACAGGAATGGTGGGAATTTTTCAAGGCACACTCTACTTGTTTGTCTCTTCTTTTCATTCTATATATTGTAGTGGTCCATGGAGTGAATTCCTACACCATTTTGTTTTGCAGCAAGAATGGGGCAAGGTGTAGGGAAGGCTTTTGGTATGTTATCATGTTCCATCTCTCTCTCTCATCTCCCAACACTCTCTCTCTTGCAGCATTTCAGGATCTCTCTCTCATATGTTTTGGGTATGCTATCATGTTCCGATACTCTCTCTCTTGCAGCATTTAAGGACTCGACCGAGTCCACTTGGATTTGACTGAGTAACTCGGCCTCACCGTAGTGGGGAGGCAAGTTGGGGTGGCTTGGGGTGCCCAACTTGTTAGGTGCCAAAAATTTCATAAAAATATAAAGAAAATATTTTAAAAATATAAAATAATTAAAAAACCAATATATTAATTAGAAATATTTTTACTCTATTAAGGATCATGTATATATTTTCTCATTACTACCATCCATGTCCTTTTGAGCTTTGCCCGAGCCCTTTTAAGGGCATGGTTTATACCATGTTTGTGAAAATTCATAAGGACGTAGTTTTACATGGCTAGGGCTTTATGATATTGGATAAAGCCACAAAAATCCAATTTTGGCACCAAAAACCCTTACGAGGGCTTCAAAATGTTTTCCCATCCCGTATTTTAAAGTTTAAAAAATGGTGGAAATTCTTAATAGATGTGAACATTTGAAATAGATAACCTAGAATGTATTATAAGACAAACCATTTTTAAGACTTGAAATCCTTTTTTTTTTCCCTAAATTTATGATTTTTGATGTTATGATAATCAATTTACAAGCCTTGTAACACCACACCTGCATTTTCTAACAATATTTTTTGTGGTTCTTTATAAAGCCCCTAGCCTGCAAATGCTTTCTCAATTTCAAATTGCTATTGCATTTAGAGCCATGTATTGCACTTTCATTAGCAAAATTAGGATACATAGTCCTGATATTTTTACAGTTGCTCTGTCTTTCTCATTTGATGCTTTACATTGGAATGTTATTGTATGTATTTAGGCAAGAATGACAAAGTTTTGAAGGATGAAGCAAAAGAAGTGTTGGACACCTGGGTTCAGGATCATACCTTGCAGATTGAAAGTGTAACAAAAATAGAGGAATTGTATCGCTTGATATGTGAATGTTTCGAGTAAGGAACTTCTCTCATTCTCATGGGACTGGTCGAACCCAACCAAGCATGGTCCAGCCTGGACCCAACCTGGTATCAGTTCGTGGTCTAGCCTGGTATCAGATCAAGCCGATCTGGTCGGGTTGAAAATGTATTACATGTATCTATATATGGGGTCAACCACGACTAGACCCCCCCTCCCAGTAGCAGGTCTGGGTTTAAAATATGGAAACTTGTTTCATGCGGGCTGGACCATATTTCTACATATGCAGTCCAGAAGTATAAAGCATCCATCTTAAAGATGGATGCAAATAGGTGGTCTATCTAAAAACAATTGAAACTAACGGTCTAAATGTTTTCTTAATAGCATTATTATATCTAGTTTTTAAATTTTATTTATTTATTTCATATCCATGATCTCCTTGTTAGAGATTACATGTACTTAAAAATTAAGTCCAAAAATCCATCTCAGAAATAGATTTATTAAGGAGCCCATATTTCTACATGTGCCGGCTTGGCCTGCGTGCTAACCGTGTCCGTAAAACACATATGCCCATTTCTAGGTCTATTGGACTCATTCCCGATCCACTGATGTACTTGGCAGTTTTAGCCCGAGATGGGTTGGGTTGACCTGGCGGTCCTGTTCAACCTGATCTTATCGGTGTCCCTACACAAACATGCACACATACAGACCAATGGGAGTATTGTATTATTCTAAAATAAATTCCTTGTCTGATAACATAGTAAATGGATTACTAGATTTGTGGAGCACTTTGTGTGCATTACTTTGAGCACCTTTGGAGCATTTTAATGGAGGACAAAGACAATAAAAACATTTGTTTTTGGTACATAAATATTATAATCAGCCTTAGCCATTAGATGTGGAGTTGAGCAATTTAGGGTCAGCCAGTCGTTATGCTCAAAGTTTGAAAAATATTTTCTCATAATTTTTGCAAAAAAATGACAACTATTCGGTTTTGCATCTGGCAGCCCACTAAAGTGTAAGTGATGCTTCTGTGCCAAATATAATGGTCTCATTGGATGCAATCCCTCTTAACAAGTGCTCATGCATTTTGGCTCTTCATGAATTGAAGAATTAAAATGCTCATAGAGAAATAGAAAAAATAAATACCCAAAAAAAACAAAAAAGTTGTTATAGCTAAAATTTAAGTCAGAATATCAGGCTTCTGAAAAGTGCTGTGATTGCTATTGACTTCTGGAATATTGGATGATTTGAGACTTCTTTTTGTGACCCAGACATCTTAACAAGACAAAGCTTGGGGCCCCTCGATTTGATATACCCTCAAAGGAATCCATTCTGAATGCATTTGAGGTTTGCTCTTTCTTTCTCAATAGAAAAAAATTGTAACGGTCTCGTTTGGTTCTCTAATAGAATCGTCAGAAGTACTTTTAAATTGGCCAATTCCTGATTCTAATAAGGAACAAGGTCAGTCCTCCCACCAATCCTGATCTGGGTTGCTGATTGCCAATCCAGATCAGCATCTTTCGAACACTAGTTACATCTCATATTCTATATCACGGTTTTTTGGACTCGGCATAGAAGAGAATAAAAGAAAATTCGATAAGTAGAAGCCTATACAAATAAAATTTGAAAATAATCTCAAGAAAGCTTCTTTTTTTTTTTTAATTCAGTGAGCATACCTTATCCATTTCATGGGCTGTTAGATTTAGACTTTTAAGAACTGGAAAATCTATTTTTTTTTGTTCTTAAATTGTTCATTTGGTGATGATGAGAAATCTACAAAATTTAGAGTCAAATAAACTCCATGAGGCCTTGATCTAACACCATTTTTTCCTCAAAAAATTCGGAGGTCGATGTTGTAGTTTTCCACTGCAAATAAAATATTTTTCCCTTCATTAAAACTTAAAAAGGCTCACATGCCAGGAAACACTTATGCCTTGTCCCTTGTTGCTAGAAAACCTGTTGTTGCTAGAAAACCTGCCTATTAGGAGCTCGTCATTTAACAGTGTTCATCATTGTGACTGACTATCTCGTTTCTTTTTCTTTTTTTTTTTTTTATTCACAGGAATCCCATGAAAGCAAGAGTGACAAAAAGCTGCCATTGAAAGAAGCAGAATTCAAAGAGTTTGTACACAAGGTCGTGTTTCGAGTGGTGACAAAAGGGAAGATCGAATTCGTTGCCGTGATGATGGGGTTACCACCTGCTGCGCTCTTGATCAAGCGAGCGGTGCCCGGGCCTGTAGGGGCCATGTCAGAGGACTTGTTCATACCGTTAGCCACCTCAGCAACTGCACTGATTATGAGTTTCTTTAAGAAGATATGAACTACAAAGTGAGATGGTCCTTTGTGATCATGTCAATAAAACTATTGATTGAATGAATGTGAGGACTTGTTCATACCAATAGCCAACTCAGCAACTGCACTGGTTATGAGTTTCTTTAAGAAGATGTGAACTACAAAGTTAGATGGTCCTTGTGACTATGTCAATAAAACAACATAGTTGTTATTGATTGAATGAATGTTGTTATTTAGATCGGAACAATGTCTTTAAAATGCCGATCGTGAGGCCAACTAGTCACTCGCTAGACTGATCCAGACCAGACCCGCATGGTTCTCCCATGTGAGAATCAGTTCAAAAATACTAAATAGTAAATTTCAAATTTGAAAAACTAAATTTTTTTTGAGAAAATAAGTACAATTGAAATCGGTTGAAACTGGCAATTTTATAGATCAGGATTGCTTGGTTCCCTGACAGTCTCGCCTGGTTCTTTAACAAAACCAGGTGAAACCATCAAAATTAGACCGATTCTGAATACGAACCTTGTCGGTTTGCATCGATTCCCGATCCAAATCACAGATTCCCAATCCGATGGAAGGTGTTTATTTCTATTTTGATGTCATAGGCAAGAGGTGCATTGTTACTTGTTGAGGCAACTTTAAGAGATATTACACGCTTTCAAATTTGGTTGAAAACATGGACAAAACCGGGACACAAAGCTAATATGCACTTGACCCTGTAGTAGGTAGTGTACATGAAGCCTATTGCATAGTTTATAGGTTCATGAGTATATATGTTTTACCTATATCGGTTTATAACCGCAGGATTTGGTCTTGGGCTTGGGCTGGGGCTTGTTATGGTGTCAACTATTGCAGCATCACGCTTCAATTTTGAATCCTGATGCACCAAAAAAGAGTTCATATGAGTTAGGATTGGATGGTGCAGATTTAGTGGTCTTTTGCTATCACTTGGCCTTTGTTTTTTTAGGCAATAAAGTGGTTTGTCAGTGGGGATTTGGGCGCTAGGCATGCATCTCTCCCTCGAGAGAAGGGTACAGGGCCTGAAATTTCAAGCTCGGGCCCAACCTACAAGCTATATAATAGTACTAGCCCGTACCAAGGCCAAACCAGGCAGATGCCCAACGCTTTGGCAACCATATTTTCACTTATCACTAGTATCATTGTTTTAAACTTGGAATGCAGTTACACGAGGCATACGTTTCTGAAGAAAAGAAAAGTTGCATATTAGAAAATGTAGTTCTAGTGTCGTAAACCTATGATTTGAAAATATATTTTTAGCCTTTAATTATTTGAAACTCAAAAAATCGTGTAGATTAGATAGACACTTGAAAATAGACAACTTAGATAATGTAAAAGACGCATTGGGTTTGAAATCCTTTTCTTTCTAAATCCGCAATTGCTAGGATAAGAATGGTCAATGATGTTGGAACTACAAATTTTTTTATGAGAATTGAGGTGTGACTTAACTTATTTCACAAGGCCTAGGCCTTGGGCTAATTCTCTTTTTTCTTCTGCTTTATGATTTTTTCTATTAAACCTGAAACCTAAGAAAAATTCCAAATAAAAAATTCCAATAAAAGGGGTAAATTATCAAAATATCCATTTTAAGATCAACTATTTAAAGTTGTACTATATTGTTTGATTTATTTTATTTCAATAAAAAAGAAACATGAACATGAGCCAAAATATAATTAAAAGTATAAAATGCTAACTAATGCATGTATTTTAATAGGGATTGTATACAATGAAACCATTTACATTTCATACAAGGTGGTCACAATTACTTTTAACCATTTGATGTGAAATATGATATTGTGTCACAAAGTTTGATAAAATTACTTTTAAAGTTTGAGCTTTGTCAATGGAAAAAAATGCAGCCGTTTTCTTTTATATCCAATATTCAAAATTAATTGTAACGGCCTTATAACAAAGATAAATAGTCTCATTGTATACTTTTCCATTTCAATAAAAGTGTAGTTTGTATGGGGCCGAGCCCTAAACAATCAAAGTAAGGCTCACCTTCAAATAGTATTGAAAGACATTGTTTCAATACTGAAAATCAGTGTGATAGCTTGAAAATTTATTTTTATCTTTAAATATAAAATTTAAAGCTTCAAAAATAGTATAGATAGAGCATATTTATGAATGCTTTAAAACTTAAAAATTGACAGTTTAAAAATACATTACAAGATGCATATTTTTCAAGACTTTAAATCCATTTTTTCTCGGGTCTATATATCTTGAGGTCAAGATGATCAATTTGAGTATTTTTGAGATACACCTTAATTTGATTGTTCTGGGCCGCGCCCTTATATAAAACTTTTTCCTTTTAAAGTTTTAATAAACTTCAAACAAATAAAATAATACAAGGCTAGTTTCGATAATTTTCTGAATATTTAAAATCACATGTGTTCAAGCGCACGTGTTACTTTTATCTTCATATGAGTACTGTGGAGAAGGAATGCAGGCATTAAGGTTTAGGCCAAGGCGAAAAGCTAATGCTCAGCTCCCGCCCATTTTCTGTCTCTTAATTGCAGAGTAAGAAAGAGAAAACCCTAATCCATGGCGTTTCTCGCTTCTCCAAAAGCCCTTTTCAGTGTAAACCCTCTTCTCTACATTGAAAGATTTTGCAGAGCGCCTTTCTGCAACTCTCTAGAACGTCTACTTCTCCTCAGCCAAAAAAGAGCAGGAAATCTCGGAATTGTGGCATCAAAAGCTTCATATTCTTCTGTTTCTTCTTCCACATTGAAGGATTTGGAAAAGGAACCAGTGGCCTCTGCTCCTACCTTTCAGCAAGCGATACAAAGGTTACAGGTAAAATTTGTTTAGTCTTCCGTTATAATTCGGTGTTACAGGTAAAATTTGTTTAGTCTTCTGTTATAGTTCGGTGTAACAGTTGAATTTGTAGGTATGTACACTGTGCGGGTTTTTGAAGTGATGACTGTTCTAATATTTGTATTTCAATGGTGCTAAAATTGGTCAGTACTACACAGTAACTTTTGAATATATTACTGTTTTAAGTCCATAATTTGAAGTAGCTTTAGAATTGCTCATTTTTCTCTTATGGGCATTCACTTTAACTGTTAATCTACAAAATGCGCCAAATTTCAAATAGGTCAATGTTCATTTATGAATATGATGCTGTAACTATTTAATGTACATTTCTATGAGAATCCAATGGCTTCAATTTTTGTTTTTAGTTATTTGAACTGCAAGAGCTTGTAATTATCAAATAAATTAATCTGATTTCTCTGTGTATGTGTGTGCATGCGTGTCCGAGCATATGATAAAAATTCCTTGAGCCTAGGGGCTTACAGAATAGTTGCGAGCCTGACAGCCCAAATTGAACTATTTGGTTATCGGTACTAAAGCAATTCCAGGATGATCCCCATCAGTGATTCAATTCAACCTTGCTGAACAAACAAGGTTGATGTAACAGTTAGCAATATTATGATGTAATTGTGGCCCTATTGATGCGAGAGTCAGGAGTAGTGTTTCAAAACCACGATCGTTCCATCCCACACATATATGTGATGGATTGATGATACGGATCGGTCTAAATGGGTGACCTGGAAAATATTAAAAATAAAAACTTTTCAATGTATATATATATATATATATATTTCTTTTTTTTTTGGGTAGGGGTAGGGGGGGGGGGGGTGGGGGGTTGTAGGAAGGGTACTAAAGAAACTAGTAAGATAGTAAACTTAAAAAGAAAAACTAAAATAAAAGTAGGAAAGGGTAGGTTGGGTTTAGGGTACTACGGTCCGGACC